GTACTGGGAAGCCAGAATGCGCATCCATCAACAGAAACATATATTAGCCGAACCCTGTTTGTTTTATGTGTTATTTATAGCAAACCATATTACAGATTCGTTGTCAGATTTAAATTGAACCGCGGTCCTAGCGCGTGCCGAACCGTGTGTGGAGAACCATGCGGTTCGATTTTTTCCTGCGAACCGTTCCACCCCTAATATATATATATATATATATTTTTGTCATGACAACTCTCGGAGGGATTGGCATGGTAATGTACATGACAATGTTAATGTATTTGGTCTTGGTGGACCCTATTGTATCTTTAGAAAGAATGAACGGCGCACTCAACACATAAGACACTTGCACTGCTTTAGCGTGACTGCTCTCTTTACTGGGTTTTCGTATGTCAACTGTTTTTACCGGAACACTTCCGGCTACAACGTAACACTGCATTCTGGGAGATGTAGTTAAATAAACAACGTTAACAAAATACACAACAAATACAAGCCAAAACAAGAACAAAACACCCCCCAACATGCAGATTTATCGCCAAGACATATGTAATGCTGCTGCTCCGAAGAGCCATGTGAACTGCATGTATTACTATCTATGTGTGCCTGGGCTACCACGCTGACCGGCTTGAGACTAGTGGCCTATGGGCTATGTGTGCCTGGGCTACCACACCAAAAGGCTTAACAATAGTGGCCTTCAATGTTTAATTAACAAAATGTATATACGTTGCAATCTGATAGATAAGACCCCAGCACCCATCTGAGCAAATATCATAATTTAGTCATTTGATAACTGCTGTTATCAAGCGGCAGCGTAACAGCTTGTAAATTCATCTTCGTGCAATGATGAGATGGACAAAGTTAGCCGATGCATGCCATTTTACTCTCTCGTGCAGATAAAGTTGTCAGAGTTACAGTGCACAAAAACCCCTGGGTGGACTGACCTGAATGAACTGAAATAAAAGCAGAATATAAATGTTCTTTCTCTGTTTTTTGAATTACACAGCACAGCGAGAGCACATGTCTCCGAACTAGGGTTGTGCCGATAGACGATAGTATAGTGTATCGACGATAGTCAGAGATATTGACGATAGCAGATGTCTTTGTCAACAGTCAAGACGATATTAGGCTCAATCTCCTATAAATGTATTCAATTATTATTATTAGGCGGCCTATTATAATTCGGCTATTATTATCAAATTGCCCAGCTATTTCACTTCAGCACTCGCGTTAGGCTTGTCATGGGGCGCACGGTCCTGAGCGCTGTATGACTGATGTATCCGTTCAATTGAACTTTACTCCAAATATATGAATTTACCTGTTTTAAATACTTTTATATTTAGCATGTTCGTTTATCTCCAATATTTAGTGTTAAACTGTTGGTCTTTAAAATAAATCTACTTTTGATTTTCACCGTTGACTGCAGACCTTTTAGACTGATAACTTTTGTGCTCTGATGCGGCAAACTTGTCACAGGACTTGCAGTCCTAATAGTGATGTATGATTGTTTTATCCAAATATATATGAAATAGCTGTTTTAAATATTTTTTTTTTATATTTAACATGTTAGTTTATCAGTATGTTTGAAAGTATATTATTTCGATTATTGGTGCTTTCATAGGCTCACTCTCTCGCGCGCCCACGCGGTTTAAAACACCACATACAGGTGCATCTCAATAAATTAGAATGTCATGGAAAAGTTCATTTATTTCAGTAATTCAACTCAAATTGTAAATAGCCTATGATAAGTACAGAGATTCTCTCTCTTGCCCCCACCCACGCACGCACGCACGCACGCACGATAATACCGTGTATCGGCGATCTCACGGGCAGGCGATATGACGATTTGAAAAAATTACCATATCGCCCGACACTACTCCGAACTACACTACCCATAATGCATTTCACTCAGGACTACGACAGCCGTAGGTAGTGATCTTCAGCATCTCCCGCAACAGTCATTGATATGACTGTGATAAGCACGTGCTTCTGATGCTGCATGCAGCTGAAATCAACCACACACTCATCCCGCACCACCGGCAGTAGTTGGTCCATTACCACCGCGGTGGTAAAAATCAGCCACCGTCACAGCCCTACGTGCAAATTATTATTATTGTTATACTTTATTCTCAAGTTATTAATGTTAACAACATCAGCATTGTGTGACTATGAGTATAGTTTGTATTAGCGTGTAGATTTCAATTTCTCTAATTGTCATACCATTCTAATTTCATATTAAGAAATTCTTTTAACCCAAAAAGCTAATTATGCTCCCTTCGAACTGGTTTTCTTTAAAATACAAATCTTTGTAATCCCAGGCTATCTGTAATCAGAAGCACATTTAAAATGGAAATATAATTTATTATTTCATAAACACGTAATCCTTTCTGCATTCCAATCGCCATCAAAATGATACATTTAATTATTCCAGCTGCTGTGAGAAAAGGCTATAAACGATCGGCCACCTGCAGGATCCTCACATGCGATAGCCTAGTAGCCGGGACAAATCCTTTATGTTTACAGATGTGATGTAATGACGTGGCAGCATGCTCGAATTTCCCGTGAAAACCTACCCGTACCACTCAAATTAGAAAACATTATTATAAGCAAACCGTTATACCATTATAAGCTAAGCTAATCGGGCTAAAGTAAGGCGAAGGTTTTGAACACTGGCTGGTTATGTACTTGCTCAAACATTTATTTCGGATCATTTTTAACCAAAAAAAGTTACGGACTGCAGCTTTAACGTAACTTAAATGTAAAGTTAATCTGTCATGTTTTCCTTATGCAAGTATGTTTTTGTTATGTACCATGCATAAATAATAAAAATTTCAGAAATAGTTTTTGGGTTTAATGTTACACAATATTTTGTTTTGCCTACATCCAACTTTAAACATCCAACATGCGTTACATGTCATAATAACAAATGCATTTGGAAGTAGGAGCTTCCCAGGCACACAGCATTGAGTAACCAATGGAAATTCTGTTCCAATGGACAGACACCTCACGCAACATAGTCTAGGAATAGGTGAATTTGCATGGCTTCTGTCAAAAAAAACATAATCTCTCACACATACTCACTCTTACCAACTTATTTTGCGGGATGCAGTTTAAATTAAGCTTTTTTGTGGCTGATCATAGATCAGTTTGGCTATATCTTCTGATAGTTTAGTTAAGCAGTGTTTTTTGTAAGAAGCGTGTCGTTGATCAGTGTGGAGGAGGTGAGGTCTGACTGCTGTGAGAGCCTGCTGAGAGACACACAGCGTTTAGTGTGAGTAAATGGCCGTAATTAAGTAGACAGCTTTTCAAGTTGTCCCTCCTCTCAGCACCAACACTAGTTCTGCATGCGTTTTTGTGTGTATGTGTGGTAGCTGACTGTCCATTCACATTCATCAAGGATGCTTGAGAGGAAATCAAGCGTGGCGTTTGCCTTGACCTCACCCCTGCCCTTCTAACATACTCAAATGCTCATGTGCACATTTATAAACATTCACACAAAAACATACAACACATAGGCCTTGACAACACATGTATACGCTATTCTGTCCTTTACCTCAGACAAAATTAAAGACATAGACTCAATCTGAGCCCTTCACATTACTACACTGAAAAAAATGGTAACCTAAAAATGGTAACACTTAAATTAATAAGTCAGAACTATTATTTAAAATCTCTGAATCTATCTCTTATTTATACCACAAAAATCTATTTATGGTTAAATCATGTAGAACTATCTCTTTAAAGTAACAACTGCAGGTTACCACTTTTCACAGTGTATGAATATATTGGCAAGCAACATACAATACAAGAAATATATAACAGCTTGTCTATTCCAGAGCAACCTTAACTTGTGCTCACAACTGTTTACAGTATGTTCGGAACAGAGACCTTCTACTGATATAAGATATGTTTCACTATCAAAACCTGCAGGGTGAGAAAAAAACGCACTGTTCAGTAATATTTTATTTTACGATTCATGTTACACACGTTACTATAATTATTTAAAATACTAATAACAATAACTGTGTAATTACAAGCAGTCCCAATAACAATGGCACACCAATTACATGTAGTCAGTTAGAATCACCCCATTATTATGCATGTAAATACATGGCAACCTGAACTGTGACCTACTATTTTTGTGATGAAATGTACTTGGAAATTACTTGAATTTACTTTAAATATAGGTTTGTGCTGCTTAATTAAAATGCTTAATTCAAATAAGGTAATGTTATACTTTTTTAAATCATTTATCTACATGCAATTAATTTAAAATAGTAAAATGTTTATTTTATCTATTTGCTTTGGGACTATATGCACATTTTTCATTGGCCATAACTGGGTGTGCTGTCATAACTGGATGTAAGCATTATTTTTTTTAAATAAAAAATAAAAAAAACAGTTCTTTTCTTGTTGCATGGCAGATGGATTGTAATTGTATGGAATTTGTAACGGTATTATTTAATCAGTTTAATCAATCAGTCAATAAATAAATAAATGCCTCTTCCCACCTTCACCAGGCTGAAAGACGGAACAGGTGGGACTCACATTGAAACAGCAGGGATCATATCATGAGGAATCAAGGAACTGTCCTTGATCTTTTAAGATAAAAGATAGCAATAAGAGAACACAATGTACTATCAAACATACTGGAATTTTCATAACTCAAACTTCCAGAGCCAAAAAAGAGCATTTATTGAAACTAATCTGCAAAAAATGCCTTATTCTGAATTTGATCAACTTTTTACTTAAGCTCTTCAGCACCGATCATGTTTACATACTGATGCCTATTGCTAAAGGGATAGTATACCCAAAAATGAAAATGCAGGAAATGCATCAGATAGTATGCGAGTACCCCATTTCTGTGCTTTCTCCCTCTTCCAGCCACCTCTTTAGATAACATGTCAACACCAAACTGAGTTCTCTTTCACGTCTTTTTACATTCATGTAAGGGATAATGTACATCCAGCCAGTTGTTATCACAGAATAAAGCCCGATAGGCTTATCAGCAGCCCGACGCAAAGCGGGAATAATAGCACTGTTGTTTTACAATTGATTATTCAATTTCTGTACCTGAATACTACTGTTATAGGCTACCTACCTGAAAAACTTGAAGCACTGCTTATTTCATTTTTATCTTTGTTCTGTTGTATTTATTTGTTATTATTTGTAATTTGTTTTAGGGGTGTGCCATATCATACCGTCCACGATAATACTGGTATAAAATTTTACATGATAAAAAAAGAGTCATGTCGCAATATCAATGATATAGCGACCCGATGACGTATGTATGGCGGATATATGCTCCCTAGCGCGCACAACAACAACACCACAAACCCAATAGGTGTGTTCGACTTGAAGCAGTGCTGCGCAGACTGATCGGTGTATGACATCAAAGTATCGCAAGAGGTTCTAGAGCATATTCGAGCGCACACTCTTACCTTTAAAAATAGGCAAGGTGCATATCTTTAGCGAAACGGCGCTTCTGGGATGCTTTTGAAACGTGCCGTGGCTCCGCTGGTGTAAACACAAGCATTGACTTGAGTGGCTGCATCAGAGCCGTAAGACAATCCTAAGGTTGGAAAGCAGACACGTGCAATGTAAATAAGGGGTAAGTCACTCTCGCTGTATTTTGACGTCATACACCGATCGGTCTGCTTCAAGTCGAATACACAGCTGCTGCTGCCACCTTATGACAATAGATTTACACTTCAAATTAGGTAGTCTGTCATCGATGACAGTCGCTCATTGGAAAAGGATGGAAAATGCCCTTCATTTTGTTTGCACTAATAAATGCTGCTGCCTGCCAGCTGCAATCACCAATAAAACGTTGTTCCATGTTTTGTTTTTTTTCTATATCGCCATAAATATCGTTATCGCAAATATTCTTGAAATATCATGATATAATTATGAGGCTATATCGCCCACCCCTAATTTGTTTATTATTTGTGTAATTTTGTTCTTATTTCATTCCCAAGTGTTTTCTCTTTGATGTTTATTTCTATTGGTTAGGCTAGAAGTTTTTGCTGTGGTATCAAAATTAGAATTGAGAATTGTGTAATTTCACTTCTATCTAAAAAAAGGGTTCATAAAACAAGTGAAATACTACACAACTACTTCAGATATGTGGTCAAGCAGAACATTGCATTTATGAATGTAAAGTGTGTGTGTAAAGAAATATTTTGTCAAAATTGTATTAAAATCAAAATCGCAATATTGATCAGAAAATTGTGAAATTTTTGTTGTCCTTATTGCACAGCCCTAATAGTTACAATTATTCCTAAACATCAAAGGAACTAACTATATAAAAGTGGTGACCAATTGTTACTGTAATTAGAGATATTTCTACATATTTTAACCCATATAAAGTAGTTTAAAGGCCAGATGTACTAAACAGGACAGGTTAGGGTTAGGGTATTATTTAATTAATGTATTTAGGTTGGTTAAGTGATTTTTGGCTTAAAACCTGTTAATTTAGATGTTACCATTTTTAGGTTACAATTTATTTCAGTGTATAAGAATAACATAATCATCGAACTGTCAACTGGCTGATATAGCACCTGCTGCTCAGTATCTTTCTGAAGGATCCTAATAGGAAAGAGTAGTAGCACACATTTTGGTGTTGTTTTGTCATCCTGTCATTAAAAAATAGAATGTGACTATTTTAAGCACAAATAAATTGCAAACAATTTAATAAAAACATATAAACATATAAACATAATAACACATAAAAACAATAAAAATGCATACAAAAAAAATGCTGTTTTTTTAAAACTGTTGTTTCCATATGTGAAAGTCTTCATTATATGCCGAATAATAAATCTTTATTTCACAGAAAAAATGGTAACCAAAAAATAATAACATCTAAATTAACTAGAAATATCTATTTAAAGTGCACAACTGCAGGTTACCACTTTTGCAGTCGGTCATTGTGGCTAAAACTGGACAAAAGCTTGAGGCATAAATTATAAATAATGCATCACTATGAATACATATGTTTTTTCTCTCTGATCAGAGAACAGCAGATTGCACACCAGTGGGCTGAATGGAGAGGATCCATATACAGGAGGATGAATGGCATCATGCAGGAACAGGACATGTTGTGCCAACCTGCCTGTTATTGCAGTTCATACCTATACACACCACAAATTTACACAAGCACAGGCCAATATTCATACACAGGTACAAGTAAACACACAAAAACTTGAATGCACAAGCACACTTATGGAAGCACTCGCCCACACTCTCTTACACATACAAAAGTGGCTAAACAGCCATGTGAGTTTGCGGCAGCAGATGGAGGCTGTCAGCATGCCCTGGGTGAGCTGTTCCAAATGAAAGGCACATGAGGTTGTCATGTGATTGTCTCTGTGATTACTCTCACATGCTCACAGTACTTGGCAGTCTTGAGGAAAGGCTAGGCTATGCATATCAGCATTTGGGACTGAGAACCGTATTAGGTGTTGGTCACAAATTGTCCTGTTCATTCAACAGCACAGGAGCATCAAGCCCCTTTCTATAGCTCTGAATACCGCATGCAACCACAGTGACAGTGATTAAAGTATTATCAAAGATACAGGTTTACATAAAACCGAAGCATTAAAATTGATGTTATTTAATAAATGGGTTCAATCCGGGTGCAAACCCAAAACAGCTCTGAATGGTCTGAATTTAAAGTCTGACAGCATGTAGAATACATAAATAATGGTATAAGCTCAGGTCAGAGACAGAGGCTGAATCTGAAGCCTTCAAATATGCTCTGTCTGTGTGAACTACCAGAAGTTCCTGGAACCCCAGATGAAACGTACCACATACAAGATTATGATTATCACACTATGACATGACAGTCTTGGCAGTGTGTGTACACAACCACCCTATAATGATAAAAATCCACCCAGTGTTTTTTTTTTTTTTAATCTTGATAAATGAAAACCCCTTTCTCAAATCAAGCCGTTCTCAGATTCTTGGATGTGTGACGTCACACAAACCCAGGCCGCTCCCACGACTGTTGATTGACACTAGCGTTTTACGTTAGACCCGCCCTGAGAGAGCTGTACACAGTCCACCACTGTTTCGACGCCGGAGCAGGGGTAGACAAGAATGTCTCCTAAGCGATTGTAATAAAGTTGAATGTAATAAAGAACATAGCAGTTGTCATTTACTCCCGACATCTGAGCTGCTGAAGGCACAGTGGATTATGTTTGTTTTTGAAGGGAATGCACCCCCGATCAACCTAAATGCATCTATGTTCGCACAAATCATTCGTCATCCAGCTTCACCTATAGAAGAAGTGAGTATAAGGTTTTTTTTATGAATCTTTGCAAACCACCTTTCCTAATAATGTGCTAGTTAGCAAGTTTCACGATGAATGCGGATAAAGTTTACGGTCTCTTAAAGAACTGTGCTACTGCGCGTCACCCCACAGAAGAGAGGGACAGGGTGAGCAGAGCTCATTAGCATTTAAAGAGACATGCAACGAAATGGCTTGCTGTCAACAGAGCTGTTTTTGACAGGGTAAAAAGGGTGTTGTTTACCAAAATTATTTTACCAAAGTATGTTATAGACTTTTCATTAAGACCCTAAAGAATCATAACTTGTGGAAAATGGGCATCCGATGACCCCTTTAAGTCAAATACTATTTAATAGGGGTGTAACGATTCACTCGTTTTCTCGATGCATTGATTACAAACCCTGACGATGTAATGCATCGATCTTGAAACATGGATTTTTGGATTCAAAACGCTAAGAATAGAATGAATCGCGATTTCTATAGCGATTCAATGCTTTCAAAATATATACACATTAAATTACTACAAGCACGAATTAATGGAGACCTTGAACAGAGTTCGTGCCCTCGCATCTCTCCTTCAGGCGCTGCACTATTTACCGCCTGCAGTCACAGGATTGCGCTCGCGCTCAGTTCGTCTCACTGACACATTTTTTCGAGCAGCTGATGTGTGATCTCTCCTTAGTACTTGTGGCCAGTAATGCTAAAGTGAAGTAGTTTTACTTTTCTGTAGTTTTTCAATGGCTCTCGGTCATACCGACGATGTCATTACCGGAGCAGTCTAAGGCTGCGCATTTATTGCATGGACGGAGCAAAAATGTAAGTGTCTAAAGCATACGCACAGTTCCATTGAATGATAAATGTGTTTTAACAATGTTGTTAAACCGAATGTACGAAGGAAACCATTAAAATAACCACGGCATTAACAACAACCTTGAAATAAGAGCGCAAGGTTTATCTGATAGTCAGATGCATGAAGGTAGCATTCGTTGCTACAGCAAACAGACATCGGGCGCGTTTTCTTTCAGAATCATCATTCGCCGATGGAGAGGAAAAGTTAAACACTATATCATTTTATTTTATGAAAATGATATAAAGAAGTTTTTGCACTGAAAGAGAAGTGATCTCGCGCTCATAGAACTTAAGACGTGCCAGGCTATATCTGCAGCTAATCTGAATAAAAAGCAGAACGAACTGAAAGTTAAGACAATAAACACAATAAATAAATAAAATTTATGAATGATGCAGTGCTAATTGACATACCATTTATTACAGTACAGAAACTATAAAGTATATTTTCTACTTTATTCTGTTCAGAAAATCGAAATAATTGTTTGTAGTATATACAACAATTATAAAATTGCCATTAGGAAAAAATTATAGATTACAAATGATTGATTATTGTCCAGAAGTGTATTTGATTTCTTATAGCAAATTCAAAGTAAGAGATAAGAAAAGAATTCCTTGTAAAAAAAAATAAAAATAACACATGCATACATAAAATTATTGTATTTGACATTTCTGTCACTTCTGAAATGATGGCTACGCCCCTGGTGTGACAAAATGTGAGCCTATACATAATACTTTTAAAGCTCTTTTTTAAAATCTTGGCTTACATACATTTCTACATATGAATCGAATCGAATTTAATCGTTATGAATTTGCAAAAATCGTTCTTGAATCGAATCGAAAACATATGAATTGTGAATCGAATCGATTCGCTGTCTACCCAAAGATTCACAGCCCTACTATTTAATATATTAACGTAAATACATTATTCCACCAAAAGTAGTTTATATTGGTTAAATCACGTAGAATTATAAAATGTGGCTGTCACTCTTGTTTAAAACCGAATGGTGGGTGAATGTAACCGTATATAGTACTCTAAAACGCATTGTACTGTTGTGGTAGATAGAGGAAGGGGGAATTTAAATGGGAAGAGATTGAGGGAGAGAGAAAGAGAGAGAGAGAGAGAGGGAGAAAGAGAAGAGAAGAGAAGAGAAGAGAAGAGAAGAGAAGAGAAAGAGAAGAGAAGAGAAGAGAAGAGAAAGAGAAGAGAAGAGAAGAGAAGAGAAAGAGAAGAGAAGAGAAGAGAAGAGAAAGAGAAGAGAAGAGAAGAGAAGAGAAAGAGAAGAGAAGAGAAGAGAAGAGAAGAGAAGAGAAGAGAAGAGAATGAAAGTGGGAAGTAGTATGGGAACAGAGATCAGGGAAACTGATACTGGGTAATGAAAAGCCCAGTGTATAGACTACAGGCAAACACACACAGCCCTCATCCACACTGAAAAACGGTAACCTAAACTGGTTTTATTTAAGTCAAAACCTATTACTTAACATCACTGAATTAACCTAAATACATTAATTTATATCAGTAATCAAATCAGAAATAGCTCTTTTAAAGTAACAATTGCAGGTTACCACTTTTTATTATAGTGCAGAAGAGAGATGTTAAAAACACTGACAATAAAAATGCAAAGAAAATATATACTGATCGATCAGTATGTGAACAAGCACTAACCATCAAATATAAATATTCTTAAATATCATTTATTTTCATTTTACTTATGAAAAGGTATTTGCTGCTTGGTTTACACAATTACTTATCATTGCCATTTGTATCTATTAGTACACTGTAAAAAATAAATAAATACAAATAAATCTGTGACATTTACAGTAAAATATCGGCAGCTGTGGCTGTCAGAACTTTACCGTAAAAAATATGGTAGCAACATTTTAGGTTTTACAGTCTGAATTTAAATTTAAAGTAAAAAAAAAAAACATATTTCAGTAGCTGACATAATGTTAATTTACTGTCCTATTGAACTTCAAATATCTGTTTTGTACCTTAACAGGTGGTGATGAGAAGGTCACATGATGAACCAAAGCTCATCATTGAACATCAAATGTGAAGTGTCATGCAGGGAATTCTGGGAATGTCAATTTACATTTTTTTCACTGTAAATTACATTATGACTTGTTCTTTTTCACTTCCAAAAACTTCCAAAATTTTACTGTAAAATTTCATTAATTGTAATTACAGTTATTCACCGTATACAGCAGGAAAACTTACTGTTAACCAATTAACAGGTTTTTACTGTAGCATTTTTACTGTTAAAATCACGCTCAATGTATGTATAGGAAGACTTAATAGGTTTTAGAAAATTACTCGAAAGTAATCTGTAGTGAATTATTTTGAGTAACCTCCCCCACACTGCTATATTGAACACTAACACCAAATAAATGTGCCAAGAAAATAAATACTGAGAACACAAATCTGAGAAAAATGCCTTTATCTACATGTCTGTGCATCAATTCTTTCATCTTTACTACAGAGAAGTTATCTAAGCTGCGCAAGTTTAAATGTATCCTGACATGGTCCAATCATGGTCATCATTCTGAACATCCACAAGTGTACCTTAACGTCAACAGTGGCAATATTGGTCTAAAGCTAAAAGCAGACCACACAAAGTATTTTCCATTATTGTACAGAAGACAAAAAAATAATTATAATAATGAACCATTATTTCCTGTGAGCCAATTCATTATTGCTACCCATCCTACATATTTCCTGATTGCAAAATCAGATGTTAAAGATACAATGAATCTTAAGGTGATGAGAGATAATTTCCTTTTTAATTTTTATCTTTCCCACCTTCAGTACTACTACATATCCCTCCCCTTTCATGCCCCAATAATGATGTAATCCTTTTGATGTGGAAAGTGCAGGAGTTATGTAAAAAGAGAAGCATGTGCCTCTTCTGCCCTCCTTCCTTTCTGTGCATGTGAGAGAATAAAAAGAGTGACAAGGAGAGAAAGACTATACTCTATCAGTTCTCCCATCATTGGCGTGGGAAGCATAAACAAGTACCCCAGCAAGCTATTAATCAAGAGCAATTGTATGGCACATCAGAAAGATTAGAAAGTACAATGAATTGGTAAAATGGTAATTAATACTCAGAAAGATTTGAAGGGCCATGAACAAGGTGTACAAAATAACGAATGATGGAAAAAATGCTGTATTAACAAAAAGACAAGCATATAAGCCTACAGCAAATGAAGCTTAAAAACAATTGTTTATCTGGTCTCTGAACAATTTTTGTAACCATCCAGTCTATTTTGCTCTTCAGAATTATCCAGCAATCATGAAATATGTATCAGTATGTTCTACTGTCTTATTTATTTCACAGAAATTGTAAGAACTGTTGCAGAGTGCAACTGTAATGCCAGGTATTTCTGTGTTTATAAATTATGAAACAAGCTAATTTTAAGGCATTAAAGTCAACATAAAAATTTAAACTAACTTCACTTCCATACACATTTCTGAGTAAAATGGCTTGCTGAAAAGGAAAAAAAAAGTAGGGACTTGATTTTATCCACTGGTTTTTGATTGGACTGTGAAAAGAGGGTGTTGCGTACCAGAAAAGAGGCAGATTTGAATGTGATTGGTTCAACTGCAGCGAGGCTTTGCATATGCCAGCAGGGAGGAGTCCATATATATGCATGGATGAATTATTCACAATAAAGCCAGTAACATGCATTAAAGGGGTCATATGATGCTATTTTAAAGATCATTATTTTGTGTATTTGGTGTAACAGAATATGTTGACATGCTTTAATGTTCAAAAAACACATTTTTCAAATACTGTACATTATTGTAGGTCCAGTGCATTGTGATTGGCCGAACACCACAAGCACGCGTCGGAAATGTAACGCCCCTTACCATAATCGCCAGCTTCAGCTTTCAAAGTAAATATCAAGACAGTTAATAATGTCGTTAGTTTTACCATCAGTTCAAGCCCGAAAGGGCAACAGAGTCGCGTGACAGACACAGTGATGATGCAGTACACAAGCCGCGGTTAAGACAGCTGACGTGCTATGATTTCTGACAGGCAGTTCACTCTCCTGTGATGTGACCCTGTTCCCCTCACACACACATACACGACTCGTTACTCTGCGCTGCGCAAAACTCCGCATTTGAACAGTCAATAGCAAATACTTAAAACTAATAACAAAACAGTAGCTGATTCAGAAGCGCCAGATTGTCATAGCAAAGTCAGAATTACCTCCTCTCCTAG